GATTGATAGATAGATAGATAGATAGATAGATAGATAGAGAGAGAGAGAGAGAGAGAGAGAGAGAGAGAGAGAGAGAGAGAGAGAGAGATTGATAGATAGATAGATAGATAGATAGATAGATAGATAGATAGATAGATAGAGAGAGAGAGAGAGTCTGATGTTAGCAGCATGTCAGCTTCACTGTCCGTGTTGACCACTTTTCAATGCACTGCTTTCTGCTCTTCAATCTTTGACTCTTTTCCAGTCTTTTGCAATGTGCTTGGGAAAAGATGATCTGATTTTCTGACAGGTGATGCACTGCTGTGGCCTTTTTCAGAAGAGGTAAGTATCTCAAGCTCTTGGGGTTTGTTGTCTGCTTTGTTTGAGTGCAGGTGCACTCCAGCGTTAGAAATTAGAATACTCTTGCAACGAGTACATAGTATTAAATTACAATAAGTACTATTGTAAGGAACATGAATGTGGATGAAGCACAAAAATCCAAATTGCAAAATCACACTGAAGTCCAAGTAGCCAAAGCAAGAGCAGATAGCACAATGGAACCGAGTAACCATCCATTTGAGAACGATACAGAAGAATCGTGAGTGAATGTCCAAGCCCAATCGGGCAACACCACCTGCATAACCCCATGTAGCTCTCTCTCTTGAATGGCGCCAGGCGCCCTATCTACTCTACAACCTAACACTACAACTACAGCATGGAAGCAACCAGACAACTTGACGACCAGCGAGTGATGACGTCACGACCTCCTCTCCACCAGGTACGTCTCTCTCTTCTCCCTCACTCTCCCTTGTTATCCCACACAGCGCCCTTCACTTCCGAAGAACCACCTTCGCCCTTCACCTCCTCTGCGCCCACAGGCAGCCCAGCTATGTCCGCCAGCGCCCTGCGCCCAGGCTGCGCCCTACCGCTTAGCGCCAGCCTGCCTCTACCTCATCCTAGCGCAGCGCAGCACCTCGCAGTGCTTCAGCGTGCCGGCATTGCTCGCAATGGCGGAGATCCCCGCTCACTCGCCCTCTCTGCCTATATGCCAGTGTTTCATGTGGGCGGCCTCCCTTCAACCTGCGTCTGGGCCCCAGTACCTGTACCCAGGCCCAATGTGGTTGGGGCCCACGAAATACAGTTGCGCCTCTCTCATCAAAGTCTGCGTCCAGATTCAGATAGTGGACCGGTTTCCCATTGGCATTTTCGGCCTCTATATCCAGCATGCAATGTTGGCCTCACGTTTATGTGCCCAGGGCCTAACCAATTATGGGGCCCTGGTATTGCTGCATTTGCAGAGATCCGATACTCTGTGCACTCCAACCAACTAGCGTGCGACAACTGTATGGACCCCACTTCGTGAAATGTTTGAACAAAGGGGCTCTTGTTGATTTGCTGGCCCGCCTTCACTTAGGGCGGGCACGAGGCTTGCTGGGGGCCTTAGCCCATAACATGTACATCACGGCAAGGCCCTTTTGAGGGCTCAATCCTCACATTACATCCCCCTTAGCTTCGAAAGTCCGCTGAGATGCTTACTTCGCAGGTGCCTTCCCTTTTAACATCCTCTCATATTCTGCCACCACTTGAGGAGCTGTGTCAATCAGTTCCTCTCTGGTGAACCACCGATCTTCTTTTGGATCCGTATGATGCCTGAATCTGACGCGATATTCTCTCTTGGGTTTGGGAGGTCTTCCTCGACCCAGTGGCTTTGGAACAGGGATGTCTCTGTGATCCACAATGTCGTCGATGTCCACTTGGCCATCCATCGCAGGGGGCAGCATCGATCTCCTTGAAGGGAATTGATCTGTCTCAGCGAAAGGTGCAAGCTTTGAGGCATGAAAGACAAGGTGAGTGCGTAGGTGTCCAGGGATACGGATAACATAGGTAGGACCATCCATCTCATCCCCAATTATGTCCAGGACTTCCCAGGGACCAAAATACTGAGGCATTAGTTTTCGAGAGATTCCGAATTCCTGTCCTAGCTCACTAGCCTTGACCCTGACACGTTCCCCTACCTGAAATGAGGACTGTCGACGATGTTTGTTCTCAAAAGCAATCATTGCTTGCTGAGATTTCCTGATGTGCTCGACAGCTTGCTGTAGCAACTTCTCATACTGCACACCATATTCAAGTGTGCCCGGAGCTGCAAAGGGTCGGTTCTCAGGTAGGAGGAAGTCCAGAGCTGATCTAGGCTTCCATCCCAAGTGCAGCTGGTTAGGAATGACGCGCGGTACTGCTGTGTACAGCGTTGTTGTACAGGTTGGCGATGAGAGGTAATTTCTCATCCTAGTCATCCTGGCTGGGCTTGATGTAATGCCTCAGCAGGTGTTGTACAACTCTGTTCATCTGCTCGGCCTGTCCGTTTGCTTCGGGATGATTCCCTGAAGTCATATGAAGTTGACTGCCCATTTGTTCAGCAATCTTCTTCCACAGCTCACTTGTGAAGCGGACATCTCTGTCACTAACGATTGACTTTGGTAGTCCAAAATCACGCACCCAGTTGTCCATAAACAACTTGATGACGTGATCAGTCCTTGCAGTCTGTAGCATGGCAATTAGTCTAGCGCACTTGGTGAACCGGTCTATGATCACAAAGATGTGCCTCTTGCCACTCCTACTGGGCACCAGGGTAAGGGTTTCAGCGGTGAAACACTCTGTCCCGGACCAGCGGGGATAGGTAAGGGTTTCCGCAACCCAAGTGGTGCTTGAGTTCGCGGCTTGTCCTGCTGACAGACCTGACAGGTCTCCACATACTTCTTTGCATCTTCTAGCATTCCAGGCCACCAAAATCGCTGTACTAGATTGGCACTCGTCTTTTTGTAGCCAAAGTGTCCGGTTGCGTCATGACATTCTCCTAAGAATAAACTACGCAAACGTTCACTAGATGGAATTACTGATCTCTTAAACTCGGCCTTATCAAGAAAGAGTAGCCCGTCTACCATCACAAACTCATCTTTTGTGGCCTTATCGTTTGCCTGAAGCTTGCGTATGATGTCCATCGTGACAGCGTCTTCCTGATAGGCTCCCACCAACGATTGAGTTACTTCCTCAGATACACCAAACTCATAAATTAGCGCCCCTCGGTAGTCTGCCCTATGTGACAGCGCATCTGCAACCTTGTTATACTCTCCCTTCAGATACTCTAGCTTGAAGTCATACTGATCTATGACCTCAATCCAGCGCTTGAGTGCAGAAAGAGTCGGTTGAGTCTTGATCCATTTAAGGGTCTGATGGTCAGTTCTCAAATAGAAGAACCGTCCCAACAAAAAGTGCCTCCAATGGCCAAGTGCCTTATAGAGAGCATAGAGTTCCCTTTCGTAGGTGGACTTTGCCAGTTTCTTTGATGGCATTTTCTTGCTCATGTACTCAATCGGTCTCAACTTCTTCCATCCTGCTGAGCCAGCACTGCGCCAATGCCATATTGGCTTGCGTCAGTGGTCACAATGAATGGCTTCTGAGGATCGGGCAACATGAGAGCCTCATGATTCATGAGTGCATGCTTCAGTCGTTTGAAAGCAGCCTCACACTCATCACTCCAGTCCCACGGCGTGTCAAGTCGAGTTAGATTAGTCAAAGGAGAGGCGACTGTGGAATAGTTCTTCACGAAGTTCCTATAGTAGCCGCACATTCCTAAGAAAGATCTGACCTCAGTAACAGTCTGAGGTCGTGGCCAGTCCCTGATACTAGCCACCTTCGCATCTTCCGGCCTAATTCCTTCCGCGGATACTTCATGACCCAAGTACAAGATCTTAGTGCGACCAAACTCACATTTCTCTAAGTTGACCTTATACTTGTGCTGTCGCAGGAGTGAAAGTATAGTCTCAACGTGTTGTGCATGCTCCTCGACAGACTTACTAAAGATAAGAATATCGTCAAGGTACACAACGACAAACTTATCTAAGTAGTCATGAAAAATCTTATTCATGGCGTGCTGGAATGTACCCGGCGCATTGCGAAGGCCAAAGGGCATCACTACAAACTCATGCAGACCATATCGGGTCTGAAAAGCAGTCTTGTGTTGATCCTCAGGTCTTATAGCAATCTGATGGTAGCCGAATTCGAAGTTTATCTTGCTACAGTACTTACATCCCTGCACCCTATCCAATAGGTCGTCTATGCGAGATAGAGGCTCTGTGTTTTTCACTGTGATGGCATTGAGGCCTCTGTAATCAATGCACATCCTCAATGTTCCTCCCTTCTTCGGTACAAATAGAGCTGGAGATTTGAAGGGGGAAGTACTTGGCCGTATCCAATCCTTCTTTGTAAGCTCTTTCAGTTGTCGTCGGAGCTCGTCCAACTCGGTCGGAGCCATCCTATAGATCCTTCCCTTTGGGGTTTTACTCCCTGGAATGATTTTTATGGCATGAACAATCTCCCTTTCTACAACTCCTGTAGGCTCCTCAAACAGATTGGGGAACTTAGCAACGACGTGTTCTATCTCTGAGGGTGTTTTAACGGCCTCCCCTTTCTCAGAGACATACACTAGGTACATACCCTCCTCTTGGTTCTGTTTATAATAATTGTAGAGCGCTGATGCGCACAAGCAGCCATAGGATTCAATTAAGCTACTAGCCTTATACTTAGCCAGTCTCACGGTCCTTCCATCCTGCAACTTATGCTTTAGCACCTTCTTGTCCCAGTCAAACTGAGGCTTGGCAACCTCAAGGTAGTACATTCCTAACAGCATATCAAATGGTAAGTCGTCGCTAACCAGGAACGAAATCTTGTGATTAAGTTCCCCTCCTCCATAGGAGAAGGTACAGACTACACCCTTGACATAGTCTGTGACAACCATGCGCTCCTTATTGGCCAAAGTAGATGCTACCGGTCTACTAAGGTGTTGTACCCGGTCCTTTAGGTGCAGCCTTTCCAAATAGTCGCGACTTATGTAATTCCGCGTGGAGCCGATGTCTATGAAGGCACCACATTTGCGGCCTCCTACAGCAACTTCCACAACGAAATGTTCCCCTCGAGGACCTCTACTTAGTGCCACCCAAGATTCGCGAGGGTCCTTGCTTGACCACTCACTTTCTAAATCTTCTAAGGCTTCAGACACATCCAACGTACAAAGCATAGTTTGGTCTGGATGAGTCTGCAGGGTGACTAAAGAGTCATTAGCTATGGCCTTCTCATGAAGTGGGGAGGGTATCTGGCCTACTTCACCATGAGTAGAAGCAACTAAAACTTCCACTGGCCTCACATGTTTCCTGAGCTAGAAGCCTGGGAAGAAGGTACCCGTCCCTTAGGGGGTATCTTCTGCGTGACCTTTGCATTCTTGCACTTGTACTAGGTGTGTCTGTATTCACCACAGTTAATGCAAGCACCTCGCACTCAGGGGTTCCGCCACACTTCCTGATCAAGACCTGCCTTGACCCAATCAACAACTTTGGCTTGATTGGAGGCGGCCTGCCCTTGATTCTTTTGATGGCCCTTCCCTCGGGCACCTGCCTTAGTCTTTACTACTGCGGCGAGGGTGTTACCCTCAACGGTTTCCTTGCCGCCGTACTCTGAACTGTCCATCGGGTCGGTAAGCTCTTCGATTTCAGTTTGGGTCCCATCGGACTCAACCATCATCAATCTACTACCCTTCTTCTTCCATTCCTGTGGACTCTTCTTCTTCCTCCCGTCTACTGGAGTAGGCTGAACACTTCCTAGAGTAGCCTCTAAGTCTAAGGCCTTTCTATAGAAGGTCTCAAACGAATGATACTCGAGGCGAGCCTCGCTGGCCAGCAAATTTCTTAGATTCTCGGGCAAACATCTCAGAAACATGGTCAATAAGACCCGGTCATCATAGCGTATACCGGGTACAACGATGAGGTTCTCTACGGTAGTCGTTAGCTCTCTGACCGACTTGTACTTTCTCTGGTCCAGTCTCAACATCGCGTCAGTGGCAATTTGTGCCTGCTGCGGATTATGCCAACGAGCTTCTACCATATCTAAGAACTCTTCTAATGTAAGGGTCTTACCCCAATCTGCCATGCGTCGTCTGTACGCGACCTTCGCTACTATTCCATCCAGCCATTTGGCTGCCTTACCCTCAAGGTAAGATGCAGCAGTAATCACCTCCTCCTCCTGCAAAGTCCTCTTTGCC